TGCCCTGGTGGATGGTAAGAACTTCAATGCCGGAGGACACCAGCTGGGACTTGGACTAGATTTTGAGGCTTAAGTTGTGACTTGATTGACTTTGTTGACTTGTAAAATGTAACCCAGACATTCAGCAGTGAGAGTGGACTTCATCAGATCTCAGAGGATTATTTCTATTATTCATTCATCATGTTCAAAAGCCGTCTTCAGAGATATTTTAATGGTTAAGCTTCTCTTTGTCATTTGTATGGAAATAGTAAAAAACTGAAAAGTAAAATTGATCTGATGTCATAAAATGTTTTTGTTTTGTTTTTGTAAGTTTCTTTTTAATTTTCCTTAAAAGATAAGATGTGGAGCTTTGGAAGGGGGTTTGCATTCAGATTTTGTTTTGTTTGCCTTGCTGTGAATTTGGATGGGAGAATCAGATTTGTTTCAGATATTTAAGAATGATATTTAACTTTATCATGTTGAATACATTTTCCAATATCATGATTAAGATATATTACTCATATACTATTGCTTAAATTTTGAAATAATTTTTATTTCTTTTAAATCTGAATATCTCGACTTGCTAAATAAAATACAATTTAAATTGTAAAGGCATTGTTTGTTCCCTCATATTAAGATCTGGGTTCTTAATACAGAAAATGTAAAATGTTGTGTGTTTTGTGCAATTATATGTTAAGATTGTAAATATTACAGTAAAGGTGTATTTATTTTGCTTTGCATAAGCATCACTGAAATGCTGTACAAATATTCAACAGAAGTAGCAATAGATTTATCCAATTTACCTTTTCATGTACGCCACTCATTAATTAAAGCTTACCAAATTTACAGTTTCTTATTTTTGATAGAAAAGAACCTCATTCCACTCCAGTCATAATAATTATGTTCCTTTTATATAAAGCAGAAATATCCTTATTAACCTAACAAATCACTTAGTGCCAAAAAAAAATTAAATTAAACATTCTTCGTGTTAGAACGTTAATGCAGCCTTAATTGCAGAATTTACAAAATATTTTTGCGTAGTCAAAATAATATTGCTGCTATCATCAAAGAAATGGTATATCGGAATAAATGTGAGAAAGCACCAATGTTAAACAAGTGGCGGTGGGTGATATGGAGAATTCGGACTTGTATTCAGCCGCCCAATGTAAGTTAACATTTTTAATTAATGATGAAAAATAGTTTGTTGAAGTATCTTACACGTTTTACTGGAAACAATCGACCAACTCTTTATTATTCATCCTCGCAATGCCAGGGGTCCTGGCATTATGAGGATGTGGAATTTTATGCATAGACATCAGAACCCCCCGCACTCCCCATCCAACCAAACACACACACTTTTTTTGCAAAGGTAGACGGCACTGAACATCGGTGCGTAGGTTTAGCCCTCCCCCTCCATTCAACAGACACGTTGCAGGTTAGATTTAAAAAAAAAAAAAAGGTGGAAGCGTTTATGGTATGGAAAGAATTTTGATCATAATTTTCGTGTTTGGACAATATGGAGGCCTCTTTAGGGTTTTTTTTTTTTTTTGGCTTGTCATGGTTTTTTGTAGGTTTGATTTTTTTTCTGAAACCCTTCAATTTGCTTTTTTTAAAGGAAGACCACCGAATTTCCTGAAAAAAGCCCCCCCCCCCCCAAAAAAAAGAAAAGAATAACAGAAAAACTAAAAGATCTTTTAAGAGGCTTAATGTAAAATGAAAGAAGAATATGGTCTGTTTATAAAATAAACTTATTTATGGTCGGTTTATAAACAGTGTAATAATACAGCGCTAAACTGCTAAAAATACTAAGATACTCAAAATAAAAAGTGAATTTATAATTTTAAAAGTGGTTTCCTTAAAACGGTCAATGCAAATATACATTTTTCAAAAGTTATGTAAATAAACATTTTCAAAGTACAAGATACAGGATACAAGATATTTTACAAGTTATTCAACATACATAAATGTACAATTTAAACATTTTTTTTTTACAATATAATTTTTTTTTAATAAACAGTTACATAAATGACCAAGTTACATAATAATATTGTTCTCAGTGTCAATGATCATACATGTAATACAAGAGTACATGCATGTATCACTGCATAAAAAAGTGCGCTTTGCACAGGTGAATCTTTTTAATTTAAGCAATTTACTAAAAACTAAATTGCTTCATATAATTTGAATCAGCGCTTCTTCTGCTTCATTCGAACATAATTTCAAAGATGGAAATGAATGAAATTGTGAGTATATTTTATATTTGAACTTTTCGACATCTTCTTTTAAAATTTTTCTAATGTTTGAAATTCTTATGCATCATACCCATTATTACTGTAAACGAGTTTATGTAAACGTAATAAAATATTATTTTGCAGTGTTCTTATTAACATTTTCCGAGATTCTTCCTCGTAGTCACGTGACGAGTCATGTGACATAACGCTCATGTCAGATTGATGTTTCGCCACGTATAATGTGGTGTAGTAGGATTGTGCATAACACGCATAGTAGAATGGGGCCTTACGAAGGGGGCAAGTCTGTGTAGCTGCTAACTGTAAACACACGACAACTGAGACAGGATGGACGATTCGGAGATGCAGGACGACCAACAAGACGAGGACTGGTACCAGAACGGTAGGTGGGGGATCTAAGGGTGTGGGCCTTGGTCACATCAAAAATATATCTGATATAAATATTTACAGATTATGGCACGTGTATATGTTATCTGGTATTTAGGGCATATGATACTATCTTACATGACTAAATGCTGATACGGGTAGTAAAGTTATGAATAGCTAGGCCATTTGTGAATTTTCTGCTATTGATCAAATTCTGTCTCAGCAGTTATGCAGGATATAGGACCAGTCAATGTATGAATAACTGGTAAAAATCAATATAAACGATGAATCATGCTCCCTCCATCAGTATCGAAGAATGCAAATTTTAGTAAAAGAAATCCATTAATTCGTGGTTCCGGTCATGGCCAAATCATCTGCGGTGAATTAACAGATGTATGAAAACAGTAGCCAAAAATTATGAACATCTTGATAAAACATAGAATGATAGCCCTTGTTTCAGGATAATGTATACAAATACAAATCCCATACTCAGACTGTAGAAATAGACAACGATAAAAATATTAAATCTGCATTGAAAAGAAAGATTTTTAAAGAATCATAAACAAAATCTATGAATCAACATTCCAGACTATTATTTACACAGCATATAAATTCCTTCTATTAAAACTCATCGATTCCACTACAGCCATATTTTGGGTCAAGTATTATTTTCAGCCACAGTGTTTGATTTTCCCGATAAAACCTAGAGCGTTGCAAAAGTATTTGAGAACTTTAATTCTTGCTTTCTTTTGTGGTTCTTGCACAAAAAAAGTAATGCACATGTAATTTACATTACAAAAAATTAGATGGTAGGAAACTATCCATGCGTGGATCTAGAGGGATGGAAATCTGGACCCCTCTCTGGAATTTGTGGGGTTATTAAATGTTATTCATGTGATGTAGTAAAGTAAAATGACTATATGGATCCCTAGAAAACGTGATTCCACTCAAGTTAGCAGGAAAAGACATGCCTATTGAAGCCTAAGAAGTAAAGGAAAGCAGCCCCCCTTCCCCACGAAATATTTTTTCACGCACGTTTGGGAAAGGAGTTTCTTATTTACTTGTCAAACAATTTCTGGTTTGGATTTTTTTTACTAGCTAGACCCCTTCTAAAAAAAACTCCCATACCTGCGCTCACTATCATTGCATATATTTTAATGTTTCATTACCTATAATGGGGGATTATATATGTAATAATATTATGACCAGTAAGAAGAATGTTTTTTCCCCAGACCTACAGCTGGCAGCAGAGTTAGGGAAGGCCTTGTTGGAGAGAAATCGTGAACTAGAAGCTCAGGTTATCCAGCTCCAACAGATCAACAATGAACAAAACATGGAAATTGAGGTAATATGTTCTATCGAACCGAAATAGGATCCTTACTAAGACTTTGTGTACAGAATGGTATAATGAATACATGGCGTAAGATTATTTGTGTTATCTATAATTATAAACAGACAAATATAAACAGATTGTTTACGCTATACTGACCCATTAAGGACATACACATGTAGTGTCCATTACCGAGTTTCTTCGAAAATGGAGAATTTGGCTGACCACTCCTGAAAATATGGTATAATTATGTTGCTATACCAATTTGGAACTTGATAAATGTTATCTTCACCGTAAGATAATGAATTAAAGAAGCTATACATATATGATATGTTTAACACTTACAACTTGGCTAAAACCTCTTTGCAAGTTATATTTATATAATTATAAAACTGAGAAAATTTTATCACAAAATTTCTCTTATATACATGTACATGGTATTTCATTTTCAACATAGGATACCTGGTATTTAACCCCCCCCTTCCCGGAATTTTTCTGAAAGACATATAACTTTTTTCGATAGTATATCACACGTCAGTTGGAGACGGTCAGGGATAGCAGTGAGTCCCGTATGCGGATTTATGAGGAGCTGGACAGAACGTCACAAGAACTGGAAAAGACGAACCAGAGACTACTTATAGACGGAAAGACCGACAAACAGAGAATAGAGAAGTATAATTCCTTATAACAATATTATTAAACTGTATTTGTACATGTATGTTGAAATGCACATACCCATAGATGATACTGATATCGATTTTAAAAAATAATCCTTTATAAGTAGATGTGAATATTTGCTTTTTTACTAAATTAAGCGTATTCTTTTCGGTCAGATTGATGAAAACCGTTCTGCAGTTAGAAGAGAAATGTGACGATTTAGAAAAAAAGGTCGAAGAAATGAAAGCAGAAGAAAAACGTTTAAAGCAGAAACAACAAAAGCAGGACAATCGACGGGCCGTGAGTTTGGCAAGTCTACGCGAAAAAGAACGAAATCCGTATCTAAAAGATATCCTCAATGAGGATTGCCACTGGACTTACAACAATCAGTTCAAGAAACTACCTCTAAATCCTTACGAACAGGAAATCAAAAATCTCCAGGAAGCAGTCAAACAGCTTAAAGCACAGGCATTAATAGACAAAAGGAAAAAAGAAGATCTGGAAACTGAAGTTTCATTGTTATGGGAGGAAAATTCAGGTTTAGAAAAGAAAGTGAGGTGTTTAGAAGAGGACGTGAAAGAAAACAGCTATCTGAAGTTTGAAATACAACGGCAAAAGCTGAATCTCGGTAAATACTGCAAAAAGTGTTCTAATGACCTAGTAGAGTTGAAAAGTGCTATTGAAAAGGAAATAGAACCAGACGAACCGCAAGTTGGCGCGGGAAAACTGGTTCGATTGGAAAGCGGTGGAAGTGTGTATGGGAGTACAGAGTCGCTGAACAAAATTGTCCCTGATATTCAGGAAGTTTCTCCGGTAGAGGACCTTGAGGCCAGTAGCGTCTCTATTCTAGACGAACTGGAAACACAGTACAAAAACTTGTTCAAGAAATACGAAGATCTTGTACAGAATAAAGGCAGACGGCCTGGTAGTTTCCACGAGAGCGAGACTTTTGATGAAGCTCTTCACAAACAATTAGCGGTGTCCCACAAGGAGGTCCAGACTCTTCTGAAGATGCAGAAGACGACAACCACGTGCGACACGGCGTCGTCTGCTGAAGAAGAACCTAATCTTCCTCATTATAAATCTCTTTTCCGGGATATCTTCGCTACGCTGAAGCAGACGAGAATTGACGAGTCCTCGGAACAACCCCCTGCTACAAGTCCGCATTCCGCTGAGCCTAAACCGCTCGCATGATTTTTTTTTTACTGTTTTTTGTTACATAATCTAGTCATATTTCGTCAATCAGTATTTTAGATGGATCAAAAATTCAAAACATAATCTACATTCGTTAGTTTAATCGAACAAGTTCTTTATCAAGAAACACGGATACATTTACATTCAATAAAATTTAAATCATTTATAGAAACAAAGTTGATATGAGGTAATCCATAGATGAAAACAAATTAACATGCATTGTTGATGGGTGTGTAAATACAGTTATAATACCATATACTAGATGATTTCCAAACGTATATTTAAATGTTTTGAGGGATGAAGTTGAATTAATTTTTCTTTCATTTCACCAAAATTTCGGGTAAAAATACACGTGTGTAAATTGTGATAATGTATATATTAGATTGTCAATTTATAGACTCCGTAGTCGTCTAAATAAAGTTCCCACGGCGTTTAGAAGTTGCTGTTTATTAAATGTAGCGAGTTTTACATTTTATGACTGCCATGTTTTCATCTAGAAAATATTTAATTTATTAAATGTAAATACACACGTTCACTTCAGCATTAATTTTTGTTAAGGATGTGTGTGTTGTTTGTATGTGTACTAATTTAACAAAACGTATACTGTTATTTGCATACTTTTTTTGTTTGTTATTTTTTTACTACCTTTTTGTTGAGATACATACTCTACAAATGATATTGTAGTGTACCTTTTAGTATTCACATTGTTGAGAATTAAATGTATTATATCTTGTCGAGTGCAATCAATGCATGTTGTTTTGTACCTAGATACAATAAAGCTGATGTTGGTACATGTACCAAGTGTGAGTGTTGCAGTTGTGGCAATGTCGAATTCATAATGACTTGTTAATGACCGTAAAACAGAAGGGACGGAATTTTGTCCAATAAAGTTGTACATGATGCTTTACAAAAAGGACGGAATATTGTCCAATCGAATAGTGCATGATGCTAATCAGAAAGGACAAATATTAAAGCTGACATGAATTCTTAAAAACGCAACTTTTTCATCTATGTACGACTTGTTTCATACCAACTATAGCCGTATTCCGCCATATTTCTTCCAGATACCTTGTCTTATTGTAACGATATATACCCGAATGCCCTCGTTACACTTGAATGATTTTTTGGCTTGGCTATCGACTTGTGCACATCTCCGATGGTAAAACATTTGAAAACACATGGGTTGATCAAGACATTTCAAAACCACACAACATAATAATCATATTTCTGAATAATTATAGATTTGAATCAAATGTAATTAAAAAAAGAAAGAAAATGCAAGTTTGAAAGAAAGATTTAGTTGCACGAGTACGCATTTTTACACTGCGCCAATTTATGCAGAATAAACATGAATAAAAAGCACTAAAACCCGTAAGCACACTTTGAAATTATTATCATTTGAATGGAACAAAATAATCAGCGTCTTTGATTACAGGTTTTATGCAGACTTTGATGCATGTCGAGAAAACGCGTCGAACGCTGTAAACGTACCCATACCTGGTAATAAAGTCACTGCATCGGTTCGAAGATGTGCACAAGTCAAGTGAAATACACCCTGAATTCCATTTATTGAAATATGCATCACAAAAAAGAAATAAACTCCATAAAAACTCAATAAACACACTGTATCTACTCCGTACAGTCTAGCGCGTCGATACACTTAGTCCGTGCTGATCAGATTTTGGTCAGGGAAAATATCACAAGTGGAAAAGAGTGGAATTTGCGCGGCTGAAATGGGGGGGGGGTCTAAAGTATAATTATAACGGCTTCATAAGGTATAACTGAAAAATGTCTATCTAGTTCTAATAAACATTCTTTATATAGTCTGCAGTTGTTTTGCATCGCAAAATTCATTTGTCAATTACAACTGATTATTTTAGCTCAAATCTAAACCAAGTAACTTGATATACGGTAAATATTTAGTTCAAGACTTAAAAACATTAACCAGAATACAAAAGTTTATGTGTGCATCTGTACGTTCTTTAACACACACGCGGAAAAAAACATCCCCCTTTTAGACTGATATTGAGGCATTTGTATTTTAAGGGCGGGGGGCAGAAATAATTGACATGGCCGTTACCTAAATATTCTTGGAAGACAGACATTTCTGCCAATTCCATTTTTGAAGATTTTTTATTGTCTCACTCCGACCACAAAGTATGAACATTTTTGCGGAATGTGGCTGTTTTATAATTATTACAGGAAGTCTTTCGAGATTTCAGTATCCCTGTCTGACAGTCTAGTTTTTTTTTTAAATAAAAATAATTTCTGTTGCAATATTTGGGAGATACTTTTAAAAACCTTGGTAAGGGAACTTGAAACCTGGTGGAATACAGATAATATTTGATTACTCTTTTATTCATTGAACTCTCTCGCTCTCTCTCCTCCTGTAACCATCTGTAAGCGCAATAATAGATATAAAATCATATGTATTTTGTGCTGTACCATTTATTAGACCTTGGGACAGATCAAAGATTTTTTTTTGTCAGGCGGGGATGTCGAAACTTGGTCAAAAATTGAAATAATAATTTTACTTTTGACAAGAAAATAAACCTAAACGCCGAAATTGAAAGGAAAAAAGTCTACATCATAGGAATCGGAACATTGGGAACTTTCTCAAATACATGTACCTTCTCAGGTAAGGAATCTGAATAAAAATTATTTAGACAAGAGGTATAAAAAAGCTAATTTTTGGTAGAATGTGGAACTCTCATCGGTAGTTTGCTTTCCCTTCCTATATGTTTCGACTATTAATAATTTATATCCAACCCAGATATTTCCTGACATGCAAAAAAAAAAAACCCGTAAACTCGCCCAAACTTCAAAACCTATTTGGGGGGGGGGGGGGGGGGGGGTAGCCGATGACTTCTAATGCTTCAAACCTTAGCCTTTTCATACCAATTTAACACAAATTGGCGTTTACCAGGGAGTCTGCGTTTTCCGAGGGGGTTCCTACGTAACTTTTTTTCTTGCTTTAGTAAATAAATTTAATAACCTTGCAAATCCCAGGGGAGGGGGGGGGGGCATGGCACTCATGCATAGAATCACAACACAGCCACTTCAATTTATATTGATGGGGGACCTCCAAAAATGGTGAAAAAGATCGCTGGAATCTTCCTTGCATGTTACTTGTGGGTGGTCGAAGCCCTTAGATAGGGTTACCAAGACAAGATAGAATTTGTCCCCATTGTAATTTAAAAGAACTCAGAGGTGAGTTTCATTACATACTAAAGTGCAGCTCGTTACTTTCAGAAAGAATGCTATGCTTAACAGAAAAAAAGCATAAAATTTCAGAATGTGATTAATTTTAAACACATTATGAATAACAATAAACACTGTTTCCTGAGAAAATTGTTCTCGTTTATAAAGAAAAAAAAATAAAATATGCCCCGCCTAAATTACCATACTTCACATTTATAGCAACGTACAATTTTTTGGTTTCGTTTCTTATTCACGCATGCTTTATAGATCTACTGTTATGTATAAAATCACCTATATATTTTGTGATTTTTGTATACTGTTGTAAAATGGTGAAGAGATTCAAATAGTTGATTGAAAAATGATTGAAGGTACGCGGAGGAAAGCAAATCCGCGAAAATCTCTGAACCCCACTCCACCTCTGTATCCGCCAATGAATTCTATTTTGATTATTCATGTACCATAGAATCAAACTCGTTTATTGTGTATAAAATTATGAAAATAAGTTTAAATCAAGTTATATAAGGTCTTTAATTAAAAAAAAATTAATAGATAAAGCCAATACACATTATTTATAATGAAAATATTTGATCGTAAAAAGATCCGATCTTTTTCAGAGAGCGTTATGCATTTCTTTTAAACCCCCCCCCCCCCTTTAACGGGAGAATCTCGTCAAAGGATGCTATAAAATAAATTTAATGTAATTAAGCCATGTCTAAAAATTTTGTTTACATTTACATATACAGACAAGAGTAATATTTATTTTTGAAAAAAAAAATTGCACTTTTTCAGTCAACCAAAATACCAGTAAGCTTTCCACCTTTGAAATTTCCCCTGACCAAATAGACTATCGTCGTGGACCACGTGTGTCCAAGTGCTATGTGGTGACAATTTTTTACTGTTCAGTTAGCAATGGATTACATGAATTCTGAGATGCATATTTCAATAAAAGTAAAATAGGATATTTCTTTCGACATGTGCACATCCTTGTAACGATAGCAGTATTCAGGTAAATATCTTTATCATTGCGTTCGATGCGTATTCTCGACCTGCATGCGTGCATATCCAAACGGCTTTTGCTGTTTTCCGTGTTATTTTTTCTAAATTGCAGCAAATGCATTCAAAAATAATTTACTTCTCAGTATAGTTCTAGTTTTTGTTAACTTTTAAAACATGTATTTGGTCAGTTTATGGATTTATGACAACTATGCTATCGGAGATGTGTACATGTCGACAGCCAAGCTAGAAAATCACTCAAGTGAAACAAATGCATCAGGCTTTATATAACAGGTACAGGTGGCCAAAAATTTTCAAGTAAATATGGCGGATTCGAAGAAATATGGCGGACAAAGGCGTACAGGAATGTAGTAAGCCGTACAAAGATGAAAAATGATGCCTTTTTAAGAGTTCATGTCAGCTTTAACCAACCACGTTGTACATAATGCTAAACCGAAAGGACGCAATATTGTCCAATCACGTTTTACATGATGCTAAACAGAAAGGACGGAATATACAGAAAGGACAGAATGTTGTCCAATCACGTTGTACATAGTACATGTACTAAACGGAAAGGACGGAATATTGTCCAATCACATTGTACATAATGCTAAACAGAAAGGACAGAATATTGTCCAATCGCGTTGAATATGATGGAAAAAGAAATGATATGTGTTGTCCAAATCAGGCAGTGTTTGATAATAATCAGAAAGGACGCAATATTTTCCAATCACGTTGTGCATGATGCTAAACAGAAAGGATGGAATATTGTCCAAAAACGTTGTGCATGATGCTAAACAGAAAGGGCGTATTATATGGGGCGCCGTTTTGGTATTTACTGCCAAAAAGTGATATCACCTATTCGAATAGGTGATATCACCTATTCAGTTGGTGATATCACCTATTTGAATAGGTGATATCACCTATTCAGATTTTGAATAGGTGATATCACCTATTCGAATAGGTGATATCACCTATTCGAATAAGTGATATCACCTATTTGATTTGAATTGGTGATATCACCTATTCGAAAAGGTGATATCACTTATTCGAATAGGTGATATCACCTATTCGAATAAGTGATATCACCTATTCATGCTGAATAGGTGATATCACCTATTCGAATAAGTGATATCACCTATTCAAATTGAATTGGTGATATCACCTATTCGAATAGGTGATATCACTTATTCGAATAGGTGATATCACCTATTCAGCATAAATAGGTGATATCACCTATTCAAATTATTTATGAAATAACAATAGCTCCCTAGGTCCCTAAATCTTATTTACTTTCACTTTCGTTTTATAACTCATCATTCTAGGAGACACTTCAGGCCCTTACACTTTTGCATTTAAAATTTTAATAAACCCTTATAGAAATGGTAGTTTGTTTTGCTCACAAATTAATTTATTTCACTTATCTATCAAGTAAACGTAAAGAAAAATTGAAAAAACGCATGAAAACTGGGTAGTCCGAATTTTCTTGGTTCCAGTGGACATCTGTATATTATAGGGAGCATTCATTATTTAATGTTGTAAGAAATTCGAATAGGTGATATCACCTTTTCGAATTGGTGATATCACCAATTCAAATTGAATA